ACTCGAGTCCTTGACCTCCATTCCACACTTTGTCTATTGCAGCAACCAGGAATGTGGAGCTCCTAAGCCATTCATAAGAGAAAAGCAAGTCTGATAAGCATACAGAGTTTCCTTAATGGGAATTTATTTCATGTTTTACCTCCCTCCAAGGATAGTTACATTTAAAAAGAACCGAGTCAACAAAAGGAGTGATGCACTAACGGTATAAATTCAGATAGACCCTGAGGAAAACAGATGTTTCTCAATCAGGTGGTCCTTCTCAAAGTCTCTTAGGATTCCTCTAGGCTCAGGGAGGCCCCTGGAAAAGGGGTCAGTCAGGGCAGAACATGAAGGTGAGGCCCCGGTCCGGTGAGGCAATCTTGAAGGAAGCCTTTCCCTTTTGTCCTCGGGTGGACTCAGTAGAAAGCTGTCCAAGAAGACTAGGAATAGAAACCTTGCCTTTGAAAGTGGTTCCATTTTATCACAAGTGGAAGCAGTGACAAAATTTTTCCCTTCCTAGGAATGGCAGGTTCTAACAATTGGGGGAGCCACTAAAATTGAGCTTCATCTGTCCTAGACCCTATTATTGCTCTAGGACCCCATCAATCATACTTGTGGTGCTCGGAGCTGCAATCTCTTTCTCTGACTCTTAGAACACTTTCTTTTCACCTCATTTATGAATTATACTGCAGAATGTGATACCTGTGTCTTATTCCCCAGTAGATTATATCTCCCTTAGGGCAGAGGTCCTTACCTGTCTTTGTATGTCACCTTGTACCAAATTCATTTGGTGGGTGCTCAGATAGGTTCAATAATTCTTTTAAAGATAGTCTTTCCTAACACTGCTTTAATTAGTGTCCTGCTTTTATTGAAAAGGAGAAAAAAAATCAGCTCCTTGAGAGAAACTTCCCTGCCACTTATGCTACCATTAAATGAAACACATGCTTACTACTTATTGTTAAATGAATTAACTCTTAAGTGAATAAAACCTCTTAAATTTTAATTTGTAAAATTTAAACACATGAGGATGGCAAATGTCATGATGGAGATAAATTATATAGCAAAGAGATAATTGGGTATTTAATAAATATGGAATTATCTAAAAACTAAGAAGTGATTTGGAATTTTATATTTATTTATTTATTTATTTATTTTTTAAAGATTTTTATTGGGGAATTGGAGGGGATGGGAACAGTGCTGGGGGATTGGGGGAAGGGGAACAGACAAGTTGCTGTCGTTTTGTTCTTCAGTCTAGTTGTGGAGGACGTTGCTTCACTTGCCCAAGTTGGCACCATCATTGCGCTCTTCCCAGGCGAGGTAGATCAGTCGCCGGCTTCTGGATGGCCACTCACTGAGGCTGCTGGCCGCTCACACTGGCTGCTGGCTACATACGGTAGCCCATGGCAACCCACTGCCACAGGGACTGCAGCCTACACTGTCGCTGGCGACTCATGGCACCCCAGCTCCAGGTTGAGCTGTTGTTCAGCATCTTAGCTGTGGAGGGCAGTGTCACTGGCCCTCATATGTGGGATCCGAACTGGGGCCCTCTGGCGTCCCAAGCGAGTTCTTAACCATCGTGCCACTCGGCCAGCCCTATATTTATTTTTTAATAAAACACTATAATGTATAGAAAGATAATGGGCTGAAGAATAAAAGTGGGAATCTGGAATCTGATAACACAACAATGCCTTTTTCTAGCAATAATATGATAACCACCTTCTCTCAACAGCTATAGCTGTTAAATTCCTTTACTCCACAATATTGTATGAGACTCTTGAATGAAATGTAAATTTAGGAGTCAGATGGAGAACACCTCTGGAGTTGGATCATCTCCTAGAAAAGTTGTGCCTGTTCCATGGATAGATAACCAAATACTGATCATATTTTCAACAACTGAGATTGCTTAGCCAGTCAACCTCTACCAATCAGTTGCTTAGTTAGACCTGTTTTGTCTCTGTGAAGTGAGCTGTACCACTATTTCTTAAAGTAAGAATTCAAGAAATTCATTCAAGTATTTAAGTGTCTTAAAATTGACAAGTATTTTTATTTTATTTTTAATTTATTAATTTTATTTTTTACCATTTTATGAAGTATAATTTATCAGTCTTTAAACATTTTTAATTATGGTGATATAGATATAGATCTATGGACAATAAAATTACTGAGGTTAAGTAACTCGTAGAGGACACAATGTCATTGGATTGAGATTTCAGTCCAGAACATCTGGCTCCAGAGCCTACTCTCTAGCCTCCTTGATACTGCACTGCTAGGCTGCTAGCTTGGCTTTTGTTCCACAAGTAGTGAGCTCAGTTGGAGGCCATTCACTGTCACTCATGTGTTCACTGGCATTCTCCATTCTACTAGTAACTGTGTCTATGGGTCTCCATGCAGCTTGCTGCATAAAAATACTCCAAGTCTTCTTAGTAGATGCAACGCTACTCCCAAGTGGGGTACCATAATATAGAATTGAGGAGGGGGATGAGAGTTAGTAGTGGGAGCTTCCCCTGAACTAAAATATACTCAGGCTTTAATAAAATTTGTCTAGGATGTCTGCACTTCAGGAATTTAGACTCTCCAACAATTTTGTGCTAACCGTTTCTCATCCCAAAGAGATCCTTTACTCACACTACACACTTCTTCCTTGGATTTTTACCTTGCCTATTCTTAAGCATTTTGAAGTAATGCCTTTGTTAACTGGCACAAGGGTTCACTATATCTGATTATGCATCCATGCAAAAAGTTTTCTATCTCAGAACTCAGTTTATTGTGGTTGTGTATTGCTGTTGACTGTATTAGTCTAGCCTCAATCCACTACGTGGCTCTAGCTGCCTTGATAACATGGCTTTAAACATAAGTTTTGCTCATCACTCGTGTTTTATTTACAACAACAAAGGTTATTAAAGTTGAGTTGTTTAAATTCAAGCCATTATAATTAGAAGGTTGTCAGTATCAGAAAAAAAATTTTCCTCTCCAGGTAAACTTCAATTAGCTAATGGAAATTCTGTAATACTTTATATTTTCCTTTTTGTCTAAATACAAAGCATTTTTTTTGAAGACTACATGAGGATAAAACTTTTTAGAAAATACTCGTTTCATTATATGTTCTTTATTAGAAGACATTTAAAACCCTTTTTCAAAGTAGGTATTGACTTTAACTTTAGTTTTATTGCCATATAGCAGAGATGGGCAAACTACAGCCCATGGGCCAACTCCTATCTAATGCCAGTTTTTGTAAATAAAGTTTTATTGGAACACAGTCACATTCATTCATTTACTTGTTATTCATGGCTGTTTTCACCCTACAACAGCAGAGTTGAGTAGCTGCAATAGAGCATTGCATCTGCCCTGCAAAGGCCAAAATAGTTGCTATCTGGCTCTTTACAGAAAGACTGCCATTCCCTGCTGTATAGCATGACTTCTCCTACCTTTCATTCCATCATCCCTAACTCACTTCTTCTCATTTTGTTGTCCTGATTTTTTATTTCACAAGTAAATAATATAACCTTTACCTACTTCAGGTTAGCATCTTTAAAGGAACAAAGCAAAATTCAATTGCATCCTTATGTGTGCAATCCTTTTCTGTTAGTCAGTGATCATCAGGGAAAAAAAAGTTGCCCAACCTTAGTTTTCCTAGAACAAGGTAAACTCTTTCAAGTTTAAATCATCAGGTATTTTTTCAGCTCAGAAAACCTTTTATTGTAACTCTGATTATTGTTTCTATTTTACTTGTTTTGGTTTCTTCTTTAAGAATTCCTGTTGTTGAATTTCCGGTCAAGATGGCAGAGCAGGTAAATGCTTGCTTCCTCTCACAACCACATCAAAATTACAACTAAATTACAGAGCCACCATCATTGAGAATCACCTGAAGTCTAGCTGATCTGAAGCCCTACAACTACAGACATACAGAGGAAGCCACCGCAAGACTGGTAGGAGGTGAGGAGATGAGAAATGAGCTGGTTCTACACATGCTTGTAACCATTAAAAAATTGGGAGGAATATCTCGACTGTGGAGGTGGCCCAGGGTTCCAGTGCCATAAATAGAAGTCCCCATAACTTCTGGCTGTGAGAGCCAACGAAGATTTTGGCTGAGTGAGACGGAGAGCAGAGAGCGACTGCACTCCTACGTGCTTCTCTTAAAGGGCCCACACACAAACTTACTCACTAATGGACTCACTTGCTCTGAGCTCCAGTGCTGAGGCAGCAGCTCCAAAGGTGCCAGGGACTTATGGGGAGGAACTGAGTTGTCTGGCCTCAGGATGAGGGGCAGCTTTCTCCTGGACAGAGAGCTGGAAGACACCACTGTCTCTTTGTTGAGCCCTACTGCTTCCCAGCATGCAGATGCAGGTGACCGCCATATTTGAATCTCCATCAATTGCCCTGCCCTGGTGATTCCCTGAGACCCTGCCCAATCCAACTTTCGGGCACACTCAAGCCACTCCAGTGGCTTTACTGTACAAATAGCCTGTCTTGGTTCATGCTGTGAACTTTCCTAAAATCACTCAAAGATTCAAAGGTTCACAAAAACAAGCAGCATCTGGCTTCATCATGTCCCATACCTCTTGCTGAGCAGCCCTAAGCCTGGTATTAGTGATAGTTAGCCTCGGCTCGCAGCTTGGCCTCTCAAGGCACCTCCAAGCCTAGCGCCGGTGGTGGCCATCTGCTGATTGCTTTGTGCTTCATGCCAGGTAGCCCAAGGAAGGTGAAGGGGAATAAGAGGTAAAAATTTCAAGTATAAAATAAGTCATGGGGATGTAATGTACAGCATAGGGAATATAGTCAATAATGTCATAGCGTGGTATGGTGTCAGATGGTTGCTGGACATATTATCATGATCACTTCTTTAGGTCTATAAATGTTGAATAACTATGGTGTACACCTGAAACTAATACAATACTGTACGTTAGCTATATTTTAACAAATATTTTTAAAACAAGAAGCTTACAAAAGAAAGCACTCCTATTGCTTGTAAGATTGGTCCTCCCGAGCTAACCTGTTTGTCACTGTCATCTCTTTGCCCTTTCCTTCCCATCCTATACTAGGTGGCTTAACACATTGTCAGCAGCATACCAATTTTATTCTCTGCTGTGAGATTTCTGTTCTTCTAACTGTACCCAAATGAATGTCACTGTATTTTTAATCTTTTTATATATATATTTTTCTTGTTAGCCAGCTTAGCTTTCTTTTCTTTTCAGCCAGCATCTGTCTGTTTTTTGGCCTCTGTCTGTTCTTATTATTCCCTGCTTCAGTTTCTTAGAGGCCATTTCTTTTCTGCCTTCTATTAAAAACACCAAGCAGATAATTTCTGAAGCTTTTCTTATTTCCTATAGTGAGATATTTTCTAAGAGTAATATATATTTTCAGAGTAACATACATTTTCTTTTGTAAATTCCTTACATTGGTCCCATGTTCATTTGCTGTTCATGCTTTTATTTATTGTTTTTCCTATTACTGATCTTTAAATGAGGAAGGAGCCATTCAGCACTGATTCTTGTCAACACACAGGATGCACAGAGTGCTCTCCAGCATCACTCTCTTCTTCAATGTAAAGCTCAATGATGAGTTGATGTGCCACTGTATTGATACGCTAACATTTATTTTTCTATCCCAATGTAGATGGATATTTTGATTTCCAGTTCAGGGGCTATCATGAAAAATACTGCTATGCACATTCTTGTCATGCCTTTTGGTACACATACTCATGCATTTCTATTGGGTATATACCTAGGAGACGAAATGCTGGGTCATGAGATATGCATGTTTTCAGCCTTAGTAGATAATGCTTAATGCACTATGAATGGCAAACCAGAACTACTCAAAAAATATTCTGTAACATTGCTTTTTGTTTGATTCCACAGGCCAGCATATCCTCATAGTTAACAAAATGTTGAAATGAGACATGACAAAACTTTCTCTTGAGGTAGAGCGTCTAAGAAACATCAAAGAGAATAAAGCTTGTTAGATTATTATTATTACTGAAAATCATTTAAAATTATCGGGAGTTTAAGAAACAGAATCTCTTTCCTCATGAATCACACACTGACAAGCCCATCAGAGGTGCACTTAGTGGGAGAAGCACAGACTACTGGAACTCTTTATGAGGATTTGTACAGCTTCTTTTAAAAAAAGATCATAATCTGTAAAAAAACAACACAAATGGTTATGACTATGTCATCTTTTTAGAAACAATCATTATCAGATCAATACATCCAAAAACTTACTGTGTTACAATTACATAGAGCCCTGGTTTTGAAGTCGACAGACCCAGACATAGCCCAGCTCATGAGCCAAACATTTCTTAACTCATAGAGTCTCAGTTTCCAAATTCCAGCACTTAAAAAAAACCTTTTACATTAACTAGGTTATAAATGCAAACTTAATATGTGTACACCATAAAAATATTCAAATTACAAAAGGATATAAACATGAGGAAAGTCTCTTTCTCCTCAGTCTGACTTCCAGTCCCCAGCTTCCATGCCTAGCAACAATTGCTTACCAATTTCTTGTTGATCTTTCCAGGAATAGCCTGTGTATATTGCAGACATAATGCATGTATACACATGTCTGTGAATATAGATACATATTTCTAACTTTTAATTATGGAAATGACACATATAGGAAAATACAGAAAACCAATGTGCAGCTTAATGAATTCATGTATTCATCTGTGTAAATACCACCCAGATCAAAAAATCCTAGAAGCTCCCACTTACTCCTTCCCAATCACAACCCTCTTTCTACCCTATAAAAGTAATCTATTCTTATTTTTATTTGATTTTGACAGTAATCACTTCCTTGCTTTTCTTTATATCTTTACTTCCTAGTTATGCATTCCTGAATACCATAGTTTAGTGCTGATTTTGAACTTCATATAAATAGACTCATGCTGTAGATTTTTTTGTATTTGGCTTCTTTTGATCCTTATTTTATCTGTGAGATTCATCCATGTTGTTGTATTTACTTCTACTTCATTCATATTAACTTTTTCTGCAAATACAGTAAATATTTCTGCCCGATAGTAAATATTTTAGGCTTTGTGGGTCAAAAGACAAAATCAAGGATATTATGTAGGCATTCAAATAAAAAGAGAGAAAAACAAATTGTCACAATTATTTATTGATAAGATTCAAAAGATAGTAACAATGATTGACTACAGTTTTCTTGCAATACAGGTCTACTAGTGTGAAGAATGGAATTCTTATTTAAGGGATAACATTTTGCTTAATTGAGGTTCAAATCATTTAAATGGATTGTAGATGTTCACCTATTCATAATGGTGACATGTAATGAGACATTCCTCCATCTCAGCTTTGAAATGTCTTTCACACAAATACGTGATGCCAATACTATTATTAATCCATGAGCTTATGCTTTTAATTGTGCATATTTATTGCTTAGAAACTTTTTTCTAGAATTTCAGTAGATTCTTCTCAATATCTGCCTTTTAGCATGTCATTGGAATGTAGATTAATCACTTCTGATTGAAGCTTAGGTGGACATGCCCCATTGCACAGTTAAACAGATTCTGAAATATGGACATTTCTTTTGCACTTGTTTCGAGGTCCAAAAAACACTCTTGGAAGTGTAGTTGAAACTCAGAAAATATATTCACTGCAATTATGTGTGGGAATTGAAATCTTGCTTCTTGTTTTAACTTTCGACAGCACAGGAAGTATATACAGCAGCTTACATTCCCCTATTACTATCCCTCTGCCTGAATCTTAGCTTGTGCCCCAAGGGAAGAAAATGGCCAGTTATCTCAGATCACTTAGGAAGGACTCTTTCCCCTCTACCGTTGTAGTTCATCTAGTCCCCTTTGTTTCCACAATTCTCCAATGTCTTTAAAAATATGACATTTACAGTATATCCATTATTTTCTCTAATTTTTGCAGCTACCTACTACAGCCTACCTAGGATCAGAAGATGTACCTATTTTCTTTTATTAATTTCTTTTGTTTTTATTTTATTATTTCCTTCCTTTTATTTTTTGCATCTAATTTGCCGTTATGTTCTAATTTCTTGAAAAGGATGCTTAATCTTTAGTCTTATTTTCACCTTCTAATAAATGCCTTTAACACTACAACTCTCCATCTAAGTGCCACATTAGCAGCATTCCACAAGTTTGATAAATACATAGCACTTTTGTTATTTTTCAGTTCAAAATATTTTCTAGTTTCTATTCCAATACTTTGAGGAACATTTATTTAAAACTGTATTTCTTAATTTCCAAACATACCAGAATTATCTTGTCATTGATTTCTAGTTTCATTACATTTTTATCAGAGAACACACTACATGATTTAAACGCTGAAATGGCCGACACTTGCTTTATGACACATTTTGTAGATGGCTGCCTTCTAGCTATGTCCTCACATGGCAGGGAAAGACAGAGAGAGCAAGCTCTCTGGTGTCTCTGATTATAGGGATATATTCCTAGCATGAGGGAGCCACCCTCATGATCTCATCTAATTCTAATTATCTCCCACAGTCCTCACCTCCAAATGCCAACATATTGGAGGTTAAGACTTCAACAGATGAATGTTGAGGTGACACAATTCAGTCCAGAGCATTACACACCTCCGGATTCATGTCCTTCTCATATGCAAAACACATTCATTCCATCCCAACAGCTCCAAAAGTCTTACTCATTTGAACATCAACTCTAAAGTCCAAAGTCCAAAATCTGATCTAAATATCATCTAAATCAGAGATGGGTGAGACTCTGGTATGATTCATCCTGAGGCAACATTCTTCTCCAGCTGTGAGCCAGACAAATTATATGCTTCCAAAATACAATGGAGGGATGGGTGCAGAATAGATATTTCTATTCCAAATGGGAGAAATCAGAAGGAAGAAAGGAGTAGTGGGTCCCAAGCAAGTCCAAAGCCTAGCCAGACAAATTCTATTGGATCTTAAAGCCTGAGATTAATCCTCTTTAGCTCAATGTCCTGCCTTCCAGGTCACTGGGATGGCAGCATTACTCCCATGGCCCTGCGGGGTGGCCCCGCCTCTCAGCTCTGCTGTGCCCCATCCCCATTGCTTTTGGGGGGGGGGGTCCTGACGCTGCAGCTCTGCCAGAGTAGGGTCCTATGTGTGGTCCCACCCTTAAGGTTCTGGGCAGAAGCCATCTGACCAGTTGAAACTAAGGCAGTGGCCCTGATCATCTGAATCGCTTTCAGGGTTATTTTTCCCTCTTCTTGAAGACTTGTGCACATTAGCAGCATAATAGCTCTATCATCTCATCCTGTCAAATCTAAGAAGTCTGAAAGCCTTCCATCATTTCATCCCATCTCCACCCTTTCAGTTCAAACAGGCAGCACTCCTCCTCTTATCATCCCCATAAACTTCTTATCAAATAGCTGCTCAGCCACATCCTCAGTGTTCTGTTTAGAACACACTTTCTCATTTTTTGAAATATAGATGAGCTGTATATTCAAGATCATTTTCCTTTTTGCTTAGCAATTATTTCTTCAATTCATCTCTCTGTTTTCACATTTTACTATAAGCAGTTAGAAGAAACCAGGTCACGCCTTCAACACCTTACTTAGAAATCTACTCAGCTAAATATCTAATTTCATTGCTTTCAAGTTCTACCTTCCACAAACCATTAGAACAAAGTTTAGCCAAGTTCTCTGCCACTGTATAACATGGATTGCCCTTGTTCCAGTTTCCAATAACAGAGTCCACATTTCTACCTGAGGCCTCATCAGGATCGCCCTTAACAGCCATACGTATTTCTAACATGAAGCTCAAAAATCTTCCCACCTACACTTATTATCTAGTTCCAAAGCTGCTTCCACATGTTTAGGTATTTGTTAGAGCAACTCGGCTCCTGGTACCAAAATCTGTCTTAGTCAGATCAGGTTGTCATCATAAAATACCGCAGAGTGGGTGGTTTAAACAATAGAAATTTATTTTCTCACAATTCTGGAGGCTAGCTGTCCAAAGCAGTAAGTATAGTTATTCTAAAATTTATGTTTAATAATTCCAATATTTTATATCCCTTTAGGTCTGTTTTCATTATCTGTAATTTCTGCTGCTGCTTTTAGTTGTTGTGCCTCCTCATAAACTGGATATCCTGATTGTATTCTGGAAACTGTACTTGAAAAAATTATTTATGAAAATAAACTGAGATCTAAGATGATGTCAGCTTTCTCCAAAGAGAATTTAAGTTTTGTTTCTGACAAGTTCCTTCAGGTAATAGGGATAGGATCTCTGTAATTCAATTTCTGGAGTTGAGATTTTTTTTTTTTTTTATCATTCAGATGATTAGACACTAAACTGTATGCAGTCTATGTGAGGGACAGTTTACTTCCAATTAACCCTTACAACTAGAGCATAGCCTTTTGGAATCCTGACCCAAATGGAGGAGGTTTGCCAGGGCCTCAACCTTGACTCGTTTTTGTACCCCTGGTTTTACAAAGTTGGTAAAAGCACTGCTCAGCCTTTCAGCCACATTTTCTAGAATTTGCATATTCCCTCAGGAAAATAAAAAGTGGCTCCAAATGCCAGATCCAAAGCTCTGAATTTGTCTTTTCCTAGGTTTTTGCCCACAAATTCCTCAATATTTTATTAGCTCTTCTTGTCTTCAAGATGATTACTTTTTTTTAAAATCAATGGTCCATGCCTACTGCCCCTCTCCCTAAGCATTATTAAATAATCTCACATCTGTCCTTTCCTCTGAGAGAAGGAAAAGGGAATAATATATACGTGGGGGCCTCCAAACATCATGTTCCATTTATTTAATAAAGCTTTAAAAAGATACTTTATTAATTTATTGATTGTTCTTCCTTGCTGAGTGTCTATAGTTAGCCTGGCAACTAGAATTTTTTTAAGCTATATTTTAGAACTACAATATGCTTACAGTTTTAATGAAATGTATTTTACTTTCATTAAGTATAAAAGAAAATCATTTTAATACTCTTCTGACTTGATTTCACAGATCACGATGGATGTCATAGAACAGGTGTTATACTCAGAAGTAAATGCAGATGTATTTAAATCAAACTACGTAAATTATTAATCTTATTAAATTTGCTAAGAAAAATGACTACTCCAACATCAAAGCTGATTTTTATCACAGTAATAAGATAGGCAAAATGCTTTAGTCTTTGAATTTCTGTTATACAGATAGTATATAACATTATATATAAATACATGGTTTATGTCTTCAATGATTTCAGCAGGGATTTTATTGTTAATTAAAAACAAAAGATTTTCTGCTGTGATTTATAGTCACAGCTTCATATTTAAGAGTCCTTTATCAGTTTTTTCTCTGCACTCTTTCTTAATTTCCCCCTCCTCTCAACCTTCCTTTCATGATCCTCTTTTATTGAGAATTAAGGTCCCTACAGTTTCCCCTGCAGAGGGTCTCTTGGTAACATGTGCATGGACAAGCCTCAAGTGAAATTATTCATATAAGATTATACAGTTAGTGGCAGAGCTGGCCAATACCCAGGCCTTCTAAACGCCAGGCTCAAATTTCCCCCTAGGCCTTGGTGCCTTCCCTTACCTCGTAGCACACCCTCAGGCCAAAATGGGAGATTATGTTCCTCTACTGGGAGGGCTGGAAGAGAAAGTACAGGCAAAGGGTTCGCTCCTTTCCCCTTCTCATGAGAATTTGACTTTCAGTTGCCTCTCTAGCTCTGCTCTCCTAGTAATCTGATAGGTGGTATATGTCAACCTCATTACTAAGAAATACCACTTAAGGTAAAAATGACCCTTGATTAGGATCTAGCATGTGACTGGGAGGTGTTGTCAATGAACTGTTAATACCAAATAGGAAACCGTAGCTTTGAGCTTTCCTGAGTGTGCTGACTTTGGTCACTAGGAAAATCAATTAGGGAGACTCTGGAAACTTAGCCTGTGGAATTATTATAAGAGACACTGGCCCAGGGCCATGTAAACCCGGCCAGCTCCCGCACCTACCCAGTGCGAATCTCTTTTCCTTGCACCTGAGCTTTGTCACCTGGGGGCTGAAGAAAATAGCTATGTGTCCTCCGTGTGGATATGGCAAGAGCTCCCACGGGAGGAGAAACACCTGATTCTGTCCTGTTGAAAACTGTGGTTCCTGTCTGATTATGTCTTTCTGAGTAGACTGATACTTGAATTATATCAAATGTGGTCTATGTTAGTCTCGTGAGCATGAGTTGAGGCTAAGACCAACAACACCTAGTGGGCATTGCAGAAGGGTGTCTGGGCTAGAGTCAGCAGGCTGTGCCTCATGCTATGTGTAAAACTAGCTCAATGCGATAGGGGTACCTTGTGTACCTCCATAAGAGCAAGATTTTTTTTTTTATAGTAACACTGACACATTTTGTAGCTTTATTTGCAATGGAGTACAGTCACACACTCAAAGAAACCATAAAAATAATCTGGAGTCCCATTTTCTGGTCACAAGAGTCCAATTGCTATATCAACTCTATCCTCTAATAATTTCAATAGTACGTTCCATAACCTAGACGAAATGTGCCAATTAAAATGGGAGTGCTCCGTTTTCTTAAACAACGGATAATCTTTTTACATCATGATTGTCAGAGTGTAGCACAAAGCTGAGTGATGCTACTTTTCCTCCTCTCTCTACTTCCTTCCAGATGAAAAATCAAACTCACCTTAAGCTGTCTTTCTCATCTTGAGTTTCTTCCTTTAGTAACTTGTCAGTGTTTGAGACCTCACCTTGCTCTTTTTCAGCAAAATTCCTTAGGAGCATGGATTCTGAGTGCATGTGGATGAGCCGATGGGCTGCGAGAATATGCTTCCGCTGTGCGTTCCTCACTGTGCCAAAGTGACAGAAGAAATTTTACTCTGAAAGTCTGAATGAAATCATTCCCAAAGGTTTTCAAGAGAGTCGTGATAGAAATGATAATTTTGCATTGTAACGAAATTTCACAATGTAAAGATCATATATGACTTAAAGGTAAGGTGTCTCATATTTCTCTTTGAGCCTTAGTTCCTAATATGGAGAGTGCTTGTTGATTGATAATGAGTTTCTGAGCTCATAGCTTTAGAAGGTGGCCCTAGCTCCATACCCTAAGACAGTTTATTATCAAGGCTTAGTATGTTAAGTATCCCATTTTCCTCGGAAAGGAGTGATCGCGATGATCATGATGGTGACGATATGTTAGCCAGTCAGCATCTGTCCTTACTTTGTGCCAGGCACTGTTTTAAGCAGTTGACACATAATTACTCATTTAAACCATCCCAAAACCCTAAAAGAGAGTATTATTAATATCACCATTTTCAGATGAGGAAACTGAAACACAGATTAGGTAATTTGCCTGAAGTCATCCAGCTAGTAAAGGACAGTAAGAAGTTCTGTGGATTGGATTCTGTGCTACTTAGATGTCAGCTAGTTTATATAGAGTAAATCACACAGGAACTTATAGCACTTCACAATAGTATGGTTGAAAGTATGGGGACTTTGGAGCCTCACAGATCATGTTTCAAATATGCAATTTGTATACTGCCTCTAAGCATTAATTTCTTTAAATGAAAAATGAGAACACACCCAGCACTGCTGTAAGAAATTGAGATAAAGTCCTTTTAAAATTACTTAGTACATGCTCTGGAATTTAGTATGCATTTAAAATGTGGTAGTTACTGTTATTTTATATGTATGTACAGGTCTCTTCAAGGTCTTTCTGATCTGTTAGCCTTTTTACAAAAAAAAAGATATCTCAAAACTGTCTGTATATTATATTATCTTAATTTGGGGTAAAGAGTATATATAATACATACGGTTCTCTTATTTGAAAAGAGAAACAAAAGGTCCTAGTGTGTGCTACCTACCCCTACGGTGTGCATATAAAGGGCAGAGGTAAGGACCTGCCCAGCCTGCCCACGGACAAGTGCCACTGGATTCCTTCAGTTCAAGTCTTCCCTCCAGCTCCTTCCTCTCAGAGCCAGGAGAAACTGGGGGGGGGGGGATCACAGACTAGTAACTATATTCAACACATTATTTCTCCCTTTCCTTCAGTTCCTGCAGGTGGAATTGAGCTGAAGCTGACCTCACTTAGAACCTAGGAGAAGGAGAAAGGAGTTGCATATTTTCTTAAGGATCTAGCTAACACAAGACCCCTTTTATAGTGTGAGGTGACACTGAAATATTTATTATTTGATCTGAAAATTAAATTTTGTTGCTTATGCACTATCATACACTGATGATGGGAGTATGAATTAGAACAACATTTTTGTGGTGGCAATTTGGTAGTATCTACCAAAATGTAAAATGCACATACCCCATTTTTAGCATTGCTCTACTAGGAATTTACTCTCAAAAGCAGGATATGGGTAAAATATATTGATTGCAGCACCGTAGTTACAGGAAAACACACTGGAAACAAATTAAACACTTATTGCTAGAGGGTACTGTTTTAAAAATTACAGTTCAATCATACAATGAGAAAATAAGGTATTTCTTTGTTCTCGTGAAATGCATGTGAACGCCATCATTTCTTTATCCCTGGTTACGTGATTGGAAAACACTTTTACACTTCTTTTAAACCTGTCCAGCATCCCCTTGCATAACTCTGAAACCTTCTGAGATATTATTTCATTTAAGTATTGATCTTCTGGTTGCACCCCTCCCTCTGGGATCAGGTCTGTCACCAACAGTCTGAAAGCTCCAGAAGAATATTCCTTTTTTTTTAAAGATGTGTTTTGTTTTTTTTCTCTTTCTCTATTAACTGAAAGCATCAATCTTTAAAAACATGCCACTTCTGACAAGTGACATACGAGCATATTTACACTTAGATACACTTCTCGCAGAAACACAATCTATTTGTAATACAGGCAGAGCAGCAGAGTTGATTTAAGCCCTTGAAGGCATCCCAGCTTTTCAACACCCGCTTTGCATGTGCCCTGCCTAACAAAAGGATGCTATAGTTTGAAACTCTTTCACGTTCTCAATATTTGCTTTATGCTAAAAAAAAAAAAAAAATCAAGTCACAAAATACACCTCTTCTGGGAACTTGGGAACTTCCTGTTAAAGAAGGTTTGGATTTTGAAACTCTGTCAAACTTATTAGAACTGTACCCCATCTATACTAGAGGTGATTACACTCTGGAATTAGACAGTGTGAAGAGAATTTGACTTACTCTGAAATAAGAAAGTTTAGAAATTTCCCCAAATCTCTGGGATAGTGAAAATCATTCATATCTTTAAAATATCATAAAGTGAAGCATTTACATCGGCTTACCTTTTTCTTTGACAAAGTCCCTTTGCACCTCTGGGATCAGGAAACTATAAACCAACTCGGCAACAATTTCTTCTGACTGAAGCTGAGTTCGGCTAAAAAAAAAAATTAAACTATTTTCTTTGTCACTTTGCTTGAGCTGCCTATTTATACTTAGATCCTCCTTACTTGTGTAAGGAACTCCACTGCTCAAATCCAGCCATTGTCTTTTCCTGTATTAAATGATGTAAAATATTATATTCCTGCTGAGCTTGGTTAACTCTATGAAAAATTCAGATTTGACCCTGTCCTTCATTTGTCCTGCCTGCCAGGAAGGGAATTGTTAGAGATACAACTTATATCTGGAAGCCAAACACATTGGGGTGAAGCCCAGGTAACGTTGCACGTACTTACTTACATTGCTTTCATGCTTGTGGTATTCTAAAAGCAAGTAATATGGAAGTGATCCAGACTGCTCAGGATAACGGAAAATCCTATTCCCAATGCTCTTACCATACAAAGGTATAGGCGTGTTAGCTTCCAAAGAGTTATGCCAACAAAGCAATGGACACTGAAGCATGGTGTCCTTAGTGGTGAAATCTTAAGCTCTTAAAAATACATATAAGTAACAGCAAATGGGCTGTCCATCCTACCATGCACTTTCTTCATACATACCGGCTCTCCATTTCATAAGCAACATTGTTGATTTCCTCAGCCATCTTCTCAATTTCAGCCCTGGCTTGTTCTTCTGCAGTATTTTCTTCAGTTTTCAGTATTATGTCTTCCAGATAGGAAGTTACAGTACTTTGGTGAACTTTAACCACCTGCAAAAACCCAAAATAACCCCAGTTACTGAGAACAGGAATCCTACCATTAACGAGACAAGAAAAGTGCACAAACATTCATTGACCTTTTTTTAAGCACATCAATTTCCTTCATTAAGTCGATAGTCACCTAACTGACCATTCCTTTTCTTTACTATCTAGTCAGTCTGTTTCCAATCCACCTGCCTACCCATTCTGGGCAACCCCCTCCCATCTAGCCCATTTTAAAATTGTGGGTCTTACTGGCGGGTGGGCAATAAAACAATTCAGAAAAGATCATGGGTTTCACAGTCAATAACGCTGTTTTGCATCCTGGCTTTTTTCTTACCAGCAATGTGACTTGGTCAAACCACCTAACTATGGCAGCGACTAAGAGGTATTTCCCAATGTCCTTTCTCGCCTTCCTCTTACATAATAAAGCCCCTGGGTTTTAACTGAGCCAACAGGTCCCTAGAATAAAGACTATATTTCCTAGCACCCATAGTTCTGGCCAAGGGAATATATGCAGAAGTGATCTGGGCACCTTCCAGAAAGGATTCTTAAAGGGAAAGATCTAGCTTCCTCCCCGCCCCCCCCCCTTTTTTCATTTCTCATTTCATAAGGGACATAATGTTAGAGCATTAGAAGTCATCTTAAACTGCTATGAGGTCCATGCCTCAGGGACAGAAAGGCAGAAAGCTAGAGGGACCCAGGGTCTCTGATGAATTTTTTTGAACTATCATATCGGTTCTCCATAATGAGCACACTGGATTATATTTGTGAATATGTATTTGTGTATGTGCATGCAAAAGTGTGTATGTTTAAATAGGAATCTACATTCCTCAATATTTATATGTTATTTTTCTGAAAATTTACTTAATATATACATTCTGTGTTTTGGCATATTTATGTGCAAGTATATTTATCTTTAACAGGGTTGTATGAAGGGAGATTGGGAATTTAAATGACAAATGGTATTTGAATCTGGGGTCAATAGATGGATACATTCTTTACATAAATGATGCTTCAATCAGGTGCTAGGGTCATCTTAACCCTTTCTTGTTTTCTTAGACATGGCTGACCTTTCCTGGGGTCATTCCTATTTAGAAGATACCTTCTCTGAAGCCTTTTACCGGCTTCTTCTTTTCTGTGCTTTTGAGTATACCAGTAGTGGTTCCTCTGTTCCTTTCCTTTTTATTCTCACTCCCAGTTGGTTCTTCCCATTCTAGCTGGTTTTTTCTTAGTGATATAAGGTAGGGGATAGAAAGTTCTGATTTGTTAATAACTTATAAATCTCAGTAACTCTTTTTGAAGCTAAATATGTTAGGGTGGTAGGAAGCTAGAATATGAATTATTATACACTTAAAAAGCTGAATTTGACAATATAGAACCCCAAACTTCTTAAGCTGTATAAAGGGAGGACAATCTGTTTTGTTTCAGTCAATTTTGTAATTATAAAAAATACACACCAAATACAATTCATGGATCAATCTTAATTCCATGGGAACTAGGTAAATCCTTAAAATCTCAAATCAAATATGAAGACTCCAAATTGATGTGGCAGTTTTTTCTTCCATTTTTTTTTCTAACTGAGAAGCTCAAAAGTATCCACATATACAATTCAACAGCCATCTTGGACAGGAATTTTTTTAAGTTCCAGGTTGGCTTACTTTCCCATGTGGGCCACATCTGGTCCAAGGGAAACTCTCACACAGTCTCACAGGAAGTCTTTACCTTGACATATTCTGGGAGTGCCCACCTCCAAAGCAGCCAGCTAGCCCAGCTCCCCTCTTCTCCATTCCTCAGGGATCAGACACCCTAACTGAAAGAATACATATCAAGCTCTCCAATGACTCCAATGAGGAAAGGGAAGAACCACCCCCAACCTCTGGGTGGGTTTTGAGGGGAGTATTAGTCACAGCATTAGTCACCCCTTTAAAGAAATCTTCCTCACCAGTTCCTCCAATTTCAACACTTGACCTTTTATATTCTCAATGAGGGTAAGAATGCTTTGAGATATTCCTTGAATTTCCTCTGAATTTGCACCTTGGTCACTTTGGAATTTCACATCTATTGCGTCTTGGTCAGAATTCTAATTTACCAACCTGGTACCCTAACTCTCAAGTTTGTTATCTTTAGCCAAAACCTCTCTTCTAAATTCTATCTTGGATATCCATCTGCTGAAATGACACCTCCAGTAAGATGTCTTAAACTTAATATAAATCAAATTCCTGATAAACCCATGACCCTAAACCTTTTCCACTCTCAGCTTTCCCACCTCAGAAAATAGTACTATCATCTTCCCAGGTGCGTAAGCTGGAAATTGGACATCCTATGTGACTTCTCCTGTTTTTCTGGCCTAAACTACTTCAACAGCTTCCTTTTTGGTCTCCTTGTTTCCACTCTGTCCTCCCTCCAACCTGTTCTCCACAAAGAAAGCATAATAATGTGTTTAAAATGTGTCACTGGGCCCCATTCATTTCGTTCATGAAACTTATTACATTTCCTATTTCTACGCTTACTTGCATGTTATATAGTAAGCTCCAAACCAAAGTATCCACAATGCCTTTACACATAGAAACTCAATATGTATTTGTTGAATACAATGAAAAATAAAAAACAAATGCCATTTTCTACCATGAGTTTCCTTTGGTTTGACTCGGCTGCTTACAGGCGGTTTCCAGACATCCCACTGCCCCCACTTGCCTCCTTAAATATCTGGTCCTCCTCCCGCAGGCGCCTTTGCTCCACCTGGCGCCGACCACTCTCTTCGGCTTCTCGCTTCCTCCGCTGTCGTTCAGCCAGCATGGCAAAGGCGTGGATTCTCCTCTCTTCCTGGAGTCTCACCAGCTCTTTGGACAGGAAGTCAAACATGTCTGCCAGCACCCTTCCTTCTAGTCCAGCCAAATGGTTTTCAACTACTGACACCTTAAAAATAACATAATTTTAAGGAAAAAAATTCCACTGAGAATAGTGATTTATAAGGAGGATTGCTGGATTACCCAGAACTCTTGACAGTCACTTCATTTTCAGAACTCACTTCGTTTTTATTAGGAATATTATTATCTCTTGACTGGTCCCATCGCAAGGGTTCTTATTAGGAAAACTTATAATACAAACTTAGACATGAGAAAGTAGATTGCTTATTCACTGATGGATTGCAGTCCTCAAATCACTAAGACGATTTAGCAAAACATTTCTGTTAATGTCCACACAGGCTGTATTTTTTTAATTTCAATTTTATCCAGAAGGTAAAGTGCTATGTCTTCCCAGATAGGAAGGGAAATGTCAAGGACTTTATTAAAATATAATATTAGAGTTTAATAAAATAGCATCTCCCAGAAATTCACTCATGATACCTTTTAATTTTTTAATGCTTGATCCTTTAACACAAGTTTGGGGAATTTTAAGATCTTGAATAACATAAAAGTAGAAAATCCATGGTACTTTTTATTTTTTTAAATAACTTCAAAGTCATTAACAACTACCTTTGAAACAGAGCAGGAAATATACACGACAATGTGATCACTGAGGTAATACGGAGGTCTGGAGTTTTTGACCAGAAATAAGCCACAATATCTATCTATGGACCCCTCTGTCTCGGCTTTGATGCATGGAGGATAAATGTGTCTAAGAAGATTGTCTCCTTTGAAACTTCAACCTGTTCCTTCTCCCATCCTCAACTATAAAAAAAAGAGCTCTCCTCCAAGTCACACGCCACTTTTAACATTGACAGTTCTGCCTCTGTGCCCAGTTCCCCTCTGGTTTGTATCTGAAAGGAGGAAATCCACACAGGTCTCAAAGGCCGTACGGCTACTGGGAGAGACTGCCATTCAAGTGTAGTTGTTAGCCCCAACATACTCACCCTCCTCCTTACCCACTGCCCAGCCCACACATACCTTCTAACTACAAAGTCCAGCTTTACTTACACAATAGGGAGAGGTGGAAAGAAAGGGCGAGACTCTTAAGAGTGTCTCGCTACTCCTTACATTTATAAACAGTGGTCATTCAGCCCAGAGATCACAAACAGATTTTCTCATGCCCAGGGATCACAGCTCCCTCACCTGGGGGCAGGTGCAACCTTTCACATCTTGAGATGGCTGCCTGTCCATGTTCAGCCTCCCCCCTCGGCAAGAACCGGGGGTATGCTCAGGTAGTACTATTTAATTTGAAAATTAAGTAAAAAGTTCAGCGAGTTGATTCAGCTGCAGTCATATTGTGTAATGCATTATATAATTGGGAACTGTTTTTCCCACAGGAAATATAAGAGAAGGAGAAAAGGAGAGGATCAGCATTGCTGTGGGCATCTGTGAGGCGCCTGCTCCCGCTGGCCCCTGCATATCATTGGTGTATCTAAGTACAGCCGAAGGTAAGCAGGGTGAGTCTGTGGCTACTACAGCTCTTCCTATGAACTCCTCCCTTAGCTCTTAGCTGACATGGTATCAGTCAGGTATCTGTCCACTAAATAGCATAGGTGAGTTGAAAAGCCTGGGTTGGCTTAGTACTGCCAAGGTCTATAATCAGAAACCTCACAGGGCCAAGGAGGGCATTTTCCTATCCAGGTCCTGGGGCCTGGTGCTTCCAGGGCATTCTGCTCCCCATCTGAACAGATGAGCAGCCCTACCTCCATCATTTCCAGAACCTTCAGACTCTAGATTCAGAGATTCCAGTGTCCACATTCTCTTCTTCTTTCTATGGTCCCTCTGTTGGGTCTCGCAGCCTGTGGCTTTCTTCCTGCCTCCCCCCCCCCCAACACGCTCCCCCAAACTCAGTGACCATCCAGTCCTGCTGTCATGTAAAAGGAAAAGAGCTGTACTCATTTCCGAGCTGCTTATCATTTGTGCTCAAGTGCACACAGCACAAGAGTTTTGTGTGACTAAAGGTGGGTCATATTAACTTTACTGTAAGTTTACTTTCTTAAAACACTAAACTCTGTGCAAATTGATTCTTTCTCACCTTGATATACAGATAAGTGGGAGAGGTAGTAAAAGTGCATCTACACTGCAGTCAACAACATCAAAAACTGTGTATGGGCTGGCCAAGTGGCGCGTTGGTTAAGAGCTGGCTTGGGATGCCAGAAGGCCCAGGTTCGGAACCCACATATGAGGGCCAGTGACACTGCGCTCCACAGCTAAGATGCTGAATAACAGCTCAACCTGGAGCTGGGCTGCCGTGAGTTGCTGGCGACAGCTAGGCTGCAGCCCCTGCTGCATTGGGTTGCCATGGGCTACCATGTGTAGCCAGCAGCCAGCGTAAGCAGCCCTCAAGCCGCCGTGAGCGGCCGTCCAGAAGCCGGCGACTGATCTGCCTCACCCAGGAAGAGCGCAATGATGGTGCCAACTTGGGCCAGTGAAGCAATATCCTCCACAACTAGACTGAAGAACAAAAGGACAGCAACTTGTCTGTTCCCCTTCCCCCAATTTCCCAGTGCTGTTCCCATCCCCCAATTCCTCAATTAAAAAATCTTTTAAAAAAAACCCCAAAAAACTGTGCATATAGAGACGAACACCAGAAGAGAACAGGAAAACATTTACAGTTGTTGGGTTAGAGCTGCTATTACCAGCTGTTGTCAGGTGAGCAAAGCGCAGAGGTCATGATGAAAGTCACAGAATATCATGAGATATTAACATAGTTAATATGCAGTATAACCAGCATGAGCTATATACAGCTCCCAAGCTCATAAATAAGTGCTGATATTTAAAAATAAATCTAATTTCTCACTTTTTTCTTATTGCTTTTATTACTTATTCATTCTGCTAAGTTCTCACTAAATGGAATATATGCACAGTAGAGTTGCCAAATAGTTAAAAAAAATTGGAAAGGAAAAACTTTTTAAAATGTAGGTTTCTTTTTTCTTTTTCTTTTTTTTTTGCGAATAAAGCAAATAATACCATATTCAATTCAGGGAGGGCAATTTGAATGAAAATTCAAATTATGGACTACAGCATATTGTTTAAAAATGCTGACTGCGATAGAGTGATGGGATTGTGGGGAAATGTTTCTTTTTCAACATTTTATTTATCATCATTATAATGTTGCTCATGCAATAATAAAAATCAAGAGAGAACATGTAACCAGAAAGTAACAAGAAAGAAAAGGTAAGAACCTTGTGTTCGTGCAAATTCCTCTGCCGCTGTAAGGCCAAAGTCAGTTGCTTCTCCGCTTTCTTCACCAGCCTGTCATCTTCTTGGAGTGCATGCGTGGTACGCAGCTCCTGGATCAGCTCCAGTCGCTTTTCTTTCCCTTCAAACATCTGTATCAAATCAAAACAAAGAGAGATTTGCAGCTTAGCATTCCTTAAGCCAGGTACAAGAACTCCCACTTGTGAACAGTGGGCTCTGCCCTGCCTTTTGGGATGACAGGGCAGGTGTGTTCCACAGGGCAGGTGTGCTCCACAGAGCAAGTTCAGCCCCCTTTTCTACACCTTCAGCTGGTCAGGCAAAGAAGGAGCTTAGTTAAGAGTTGTTTACTCAATTTCTTAAAATGCCTTTCAAAGACAAGGTGACAACTTAGTGTGACATTAAGAAACTTGAACCTTCCCCTCATTTCCTGTGCTTGTCCTGAGAAACTCGAGGATGGTGTATTTCATAGCCGTGTTTTTCCCCCCAATAGATCTGCCCCTGGCTTGTAAGACACAACGTGCTGTCTGAACTGTGGCATTTCTCCTGGGGAAGTCAAGAATAATGTGGAACCCAAGATGCTCCCCCAGCTTCCCTGGACTTACTCTTCATAACTGAGTCTCTTAAGAGTTATAACTGTCTAGGGACAGGAAAATGCTTGTAGTTGGGGCTTTATATCAGTCCATTTTTAAATTGAGGGCCTGCTCTGGCAGCACAAATAATCTGGCTAAAGCTTTATAGTCAGGAAGGCCAGAGGTGAATTTGCTGGCAATTAACATCATCACTCTCAGACTCACATTACTTGCCTGTAAAAGGGGGTAATGGACAGAAAAAAAAAAGAGAGATTATATATGTAAAGCAAAGAATATATAATGTGGGCACATAGTAGGGGTTCAAAAAAAACTCTAGTATATTATGTAGCTATTTCATTTATTATTCAGGTATTGTTAGCTATATGCACTCAAATAATTGTATTATAACTTTGTCGAAAATTAAGAAATCCATTTGGTTTGTGATGCTTTAGTTGTCAAAATTGAGGTAAGAAAACTGCTGGATTTAGCAGTCCCAAGGAAGACCTTAGTTTCGCACTGCCTTGGCTACAACTGTGGCAAACAGAAGGCGGGTCCTTGCTCTCCCTGACACATTGTCCTTGACACTGGACAGTCCACGGCGGCAGAGGGAATGGTAACTCCACAGTATAGTCCCACAGGACAGGAGAGTGCAAACGAGAATTCACCCCGAGAAACCAAGCACACACGCATTCTATAAATCTATTTTCAAAGGAGAAGCACAGGGCCAGCGGTTGGGCCCTACACACCATGTTCTGAACGACTCTGCCCCGGAGTAACTTTTGAAGGTAGATAACAGCCATTTCTTTATCTTCTTCTTCCTAAAAGAACAAAGGGAGAACCAAGCAGTTTGAGAAAAGTAGTCAGCATCACATAGTCTCTGAAGAATTGTACCAAGCAAAAGAGACTGTGCTAAATGCTAGAAGGATTTAAAGAGAAATAAAACATGGTCCCTACCCTCACTGAACATATAGTATTTTAAATGTTACTTACTATATTGTTAAAATCTATTATTATTTTTTCATCATAAATATCTTTAATGAATCATATCAAAAGCAAAAAGTTCGCCCACTGTCATGCTATCACTACAAATTAAGCCATTTTGATTTTTCTACACTCCTTTCCAGCAAAATCTTTCTTGAAGCAACAAGTACTGTTGATAACATCTATTTTGCAATAGTTTTTTCATGTTTGATCAGGAGTAGACAAAGAGTACAGCTAGTGTCTATGTCTGGGGTGCTTCTCACAAGAATTTAGCTACACTAGTAAAATCAGAATATAATGTACAAGGTTAGTCATCTACAAAAATCACCTTAAACGACTATGTGTCAAAAGCAGGAAGAGCAGAGTCTGCAAATCTAATGAAGGCTCCTCTGAATACAGAAGAAAGCAACAGTAAAATGGACGGCATTTAACACACATGAAAGACCAGGTGTTAACCATAGGCAGTGGCCGGCACGGAGTCGAGAAAATGGGGTGCTGCTCAGAAGCATCCTGGCCGGTCAGTAGGAGCACTCCAGTGCCACCACAGCGCCGACCCATCAGAGGTGCTAGTGGCTCTCCTGTCAGCTCCCCTCCCTCTGAGGAAGCACAGCGACCCGAATACAGCCTAGCTTCTTGTGAGAACTGCCCTACCCTGGGAGATAACGGGTGGGCCTGCCAGGAGGAGCATCTGAGTCACCAGCCAGGTATATTTCTCGCTGTAAAATACTAAACTTACATTGCGGCATGGCTAGCAGTTTCTGGTGGGTTTGCTGAGTCTGAGTCAGTCCTTTAAATCCTAACCAACTCCGGTATCGGGCTCAATTTGAGTGTGGGGATCCACGAAGCTGAGGTACGGCCCTGACCAGGGTGAACTCTACATCGGTCCTGACTCAGAAGCCAGCCTGTCTGGGTGACTTCATGGCAAGTCATTCCAGCTGTCATCAGCCACCTCCCCACGTGGGAAGTCATAGTAACTGGTCATCACTTTAACTTTTTTTATTTGACATACATGAGGATTACCCTTTTGATGCCTATTTGTCTTGGGGAATCCTTTTATTCTTTGTGTTTTCATTCTTGAAAAGGGTTTAGATTTCATTTCATTTCATTTTGCTTGCTTTTATGTGTGTTCGATGTTTGAAAGAAACATAAGAAAAAAAGGTAACATCGCTCAGATCTTGGGAAATTAATACTGTTAAATTATTTGTTTTTAATCCAGACTATCCTAAGAATAAATGGGCAGCAGCGCTGAATTTAGCATTTCAAATAAAAAAGTTTCAAACTTACACTGGAAGTCATTTCCAAGGTTGGAGTTGGAAGCCGAGGTGGAGGCACTAACTTTCTTTGGAGAAAGAGTAGAGGTTTCTTTGGTTCAAGAACCTTATTCTTCTTATCCAATAGTGCCTGAAATAATATCAACTGCTGTCATTTCTTATCTTTGTATTTTCTTCCACTACCAGATCTAGGTCAAAGATCTGAATGAATGTCAATCAGAAATAATCGTCTCTATGGCTATGCTAGGACAGTTTGAGAAACTCCAAACCAGGGTGCCGTATCTCCCAACGGATGCTATGATATTCCTAAAAATAAATTAACCACTGAATAAACATGGCATATATTCTAGGCGTATCCATTTTAATCAAAGATTTCGGGGAATTTACTTTTTTTTTTTTTTTTAGTTTTTAAAAGGTTCTGTCAGGTGTGTATGCAAGCAAAATCCCCACTTTTATTCTTCCGCATGAGCTAATTTGCTGTTTTAAATGACTACCTGGACAATAGAAAATTTCTCCTGTGCAGTAAGTAACTGAAATGTTTGGTACAGTTTGTTGTTATGGGGGAGCTGAGGAGCATTAGATGGCAACTGTCTCAAAATGAGAGAGAGCTTCACTTTAGCCTTAAAAGCCTGCACGCCAAGATTTTTGAAAATGAACTTGTTTCCTTGTAAAAGAAATGACTGTTTCTGTTTCAACATACATTTTTTTTTTTTTACTTTTGATCACCAAAAGTCTTGCTAAAATGCATTAACATAAGGTTTTATTCATTCATCGGTTCCATTTTCAGTCACAGGAGGATTCTTTAACTTAAAAATATCAAAAGTTGGATCTCTGTGATTTTAAGATCATACTTTAGTTCCTTTTTCATCTATAATAATTTTTATATTATTTTTTCCACAAAAAATAGTTATGTGATAAAACAACAAGCTTTAAGCCAAGGTTAAAATTAATAAAAAATATGCAAATTATGAGTAAAATCTTAAACCACATGAAATTACTGTGGTTGTAATAGAGCCTTTGAGTTTCTTCAAAATAAAACTGACAGCAAATATATGACAGCTCTATGATAACCACAACTAATGAATCAACAGAAAGCAGCGGCAATCTAAAAGTAATTTATAATTCTAAACTCTGACACGTCCTGAGTGAAATGCCCTGAGCAACATCACATGAAACTATTTTAAAAACAATCATTCTCAACTATTTTTGTTGGTTTTATTATGATTGTCATTGGACTTCTTGACCTACCATTTTTCTTTTAATTGTGAAAACCTAATGATTTTTCTTCAAAGTTTGAATTATTTTTTCAGATTATGTTTGGAAAGGGTGTTGTAAAACAGGAACTCGCACACATTACAGAAATTAGTACATCATTTCTTTAAGAAAATTTAACAATATCCATCAAAATAACAAATGCATGTATATTGTGGGCCAGCAATTCTATGTCTAGAAATTTAATTCTAGATACGTTCACACGTGTATCAAATTATATGCAAACAAGTTTACTCATTGCAGCATTGTTTTTAAAACTAAAAAGTTGAGAACATTATAAATATCCATCAAAAGGAGACCAGTTATATTATGATACATTTATACAATGATATATCATGTAAAAAATAATAAAAAAGGCTTTTCTGGTAACACTGATATGGAATGATCGCCAAGATATATTAAGTAAAAAGGGCACAGGCAGAACAGTGTGTATTATACACTAATATTTATGTAAAAAACATTTTTTTAAATACATATATGCATTTATATATATTTGCTTATATATTTATAAATACACACACATGCATATATATTTACACATATGCATATATTTGCTTATGTAAAATATCTCTGGAAGGACAGATATAAAACTAAAGACACCAGTTGCCTCCGAAGAAGGCATAGCTGAGAGACAGGAACAGAAGGGAAACATTTCATTTAATACTCTTATATAAGTCATGAATTTTGAACTATGTGGATATATTTTCCACTCAATAAACAAATTACAAATACAAGAAAAAAGAAAGAAAAAATAATTTAAACTTCGAAGAAAAAAAAATCATTAGATTTTCACAATTAAGAGAAAAAAATGTTAGGTCAAGAAGTCCAATGAAAAGCATAATAAAACCAACAAAAATATTTCAGAATTTCTTCAATCTCAGTCTCACAACTGCCTTGAAAGGTAAGGCTTGCAGCGGGGTGGGGAATATGAACAAGTATGAGAATATTAAGGAAATGCTCTTATCAAATGATACATTTTAATATGTTCAAAAGGCAAACTTAAACAACAGGTTAGGCAACTGAGTTTAATCCATAGTTTTCATAATAGACTCTTTTAGCCTACTTTATGACATATGCAATTTGACAAGGCATCAACAATATATTTCAACCTAAATTTCTACCAAGAATAACCTGAAAATATTGTACTGTGGAAATTCTTTTATGCCATTCTAGGTATTTCTCCGTCATAGTTACTATGACATAGCTCCAAAAGTATTTTCTTAAATACTTGTACCTATCACCTGTACCTTCATATTTCTATGAAAAGAAAACTCTAGAGAGGAGAAAGAATGAAGGATTGTGTGTTGAAAACTACTGGGCATTGTTGCCCAAGACAAAGTGCAATTTTTGGGGTGTAGTATTCCTCTGCCAAAGTCCCACCAGTAGCATCTTGTCTTCCAGATAAGGGTTATACCTTATGAACTTCCTCCAACTCACGGTCCATCCTTGCTGCCCTCTTTAGAAAACCAGCTTTGGTGGTAATGACTTTAGGTTTTGGAGGTCGGATTCGGGGTTGTGTCACAAAATCTGGGAGACATGACTCAAGTTCAACTAACCCTATGGGAAGGAAGTACATGTTTTTAGTATCTGGTGCTTAAATTTGGCATTTTGAAAGCCTATTGTTAATTTTGATAGCTGTTTGCCAAGAAGTCTCCTTTAGAATTATTGATGAGTATCTCATATAATTGAATTGTCCCCAAAGTGTAAAGCAAATTTCTATATAGTTAACTCATGTTCTCTGTGACTTAGACTGTAAAATGAGAAATGAATTCTAAAATGAAAACATTGCCCTACAAAAAATAAATTCCACAATAAGAATCAACAGAAAATGAATGACCATATGATACATGGCACCACCATTATTAAGTGGATGTACACCAAGTCATCATATTCTGCTCTGGAAATGGTCAGTCAGTGCTACATGTTAAACTCATGGTCTAGGCCATGTGATGCTTCAACTTGTCAACTGAAATTTAAATCATTTAAATAAGCCTCTCTTGAACTTTACAACAGGTATAGCCCTCTTCATGAATTATCCCTTGCCCACTAGTTTTCTGCCATTTCTTCTTAAAGGACTGATTTCATTATAGATTTCTTGTTTGCTTCACAAACCTGGCAAGGAAGCTTTTCCTATTTCATTTTTTATATAACTTTGATTATTAGTGACCTTAAACAAGTTTAAATGTGTAATATCTATTTGACTTTACTCCTTGATAAATTGTTGTATACTGCATCCATTTACTTATTTGGGTCTTAATAGTTTTTATTTGTTTGTATCAACTCATATAAATAAAATTAAATGTGTTAATTACTATTTCTTGCAAATATTTTTACTTGTTTAGCTTTTAATTTAAATTATTGTATTTTACATATTTAATTTATATTTCTTTTTCTTCACCACTGTTGAATTATATATTCTTATATTTGTTTATCTAATCTTATTGAGGTATATTTTGTTACCAACTGATAATTCTCAATACATAATCCTAATCACTAGTATAAAAGATGTAAAGTACAGCTCATATTAATGCTCATACAGGAAGACTCCCCTCCCCAGGATATATATAATTATATATTTAATTTGTATTTCTAAGATAACTCTTTTATACTGGACTTGTAATTATGTAAATTACTTACCTTCATAGGTGTTGAGATAGTGGTTTTTTACTACAAAGTCCTCTGAGTTGTTGTCTGGGAAACGACCAAGGCAAGATAGAGGTCCATAGACCTGTGATGCATAATCAGAATAATCCTTGATGATATTTCTTCTCTCCAACTTCCCTTCTACATTCTTTCTCTTTCCCACAAGTTTTCTGATTGCTAAAATACAACATACCTCCATGACTATCTCCAAAATATTGCTCTGAATGACCCAAATGCAGAATAGCGGACCAGTCCTAATTTTATACCCAGGGAAGCTACTGAACTGAATGAATTTCATGATGACCACTCAATGCAGCCCTAATGTAACACTAAAAACAAACGTCTGTCATCAGTGTAACCCAGATGGCTATGAGACAGATGGGAGTGACAGAAGCTGAATCAGCTAGTGTCCTCAATTGGTACTCAAAAGCTTATAAAAAAGCATTTCAAGCTCTGGGTCAAGAAGAGATATTCAATAAAAGTTTGTTAAATGAATGAAAGAAACTCAAAGTAACTAAATAAATACATGTTCAATGGGGTTTAGGGGAATTATTCTCTCCTAGGAGAATAATTAAAAGAGAGGGAAGACTACATGTTCTTCAATAATCTCTGTTCACCTTGGCTAACACCAGAATAAATTAGAATATGTCAAATAGTGAAAAGAAAAATAATGCTGACAATATCTAAATGCATACTTAGCAGCTATTAAGTTGTTATTTTCTCACATCAAAAATAAAAGTTAAAAGTTCAGTTCAGTAAAAATAATTTTTAAGGAATTATTTTTTGTAATTGTTTTATTTTTGCTAGAAAAATGACAATTTTGAATGATTTTAAATATGATTATATGCCTATTATGTATATAGATTTTTAATTTACACATACAATTGATCCATTACAATTTTATAAGTAAATAAATTACACTAAAAGTTACTCAACTAATATAGCTATAAAGTTAAGTGACATGGTAAAAAGTTAGAATTTTAATTTTAATTTTTTTAAAGGTTTTATTGGGGAATTGGGGGAGGGGAACAGCGTTGGGGAATCGGGGAAGAGGAACAGACAGGTTGCTGTCCTTTTGTTCTTCAGTCTAGTTGTGAAGGACGTTGCTTCACTGGCCCATGTTGGTATTATCATGGTGCTCTTCCCAGGTGAGGCAGTCGTTCGCCGGCCATTGAACGGCCGCTCACGGCAGCTCATGAAAGTGCACACCAGCTGCCATCCAGCCCCATTGCAGCCTATGCCATAGCCAGAGACTCACGGCAGCCCAGCTCCAGGTCGAGCTGTTGTTCACCATCTTAGCTGTAGAGGGCGCAGTGTCACTGGCCCTCATGTGAGATCTAAACCAGGGCCCTACTGCTCAGAGCTGGCGTCCCAAGCCAACTCTTAACCAATGTGCCACTCGGCCGGCCCTATTTTAAATTTTAATTTAAAATTTTTATTTAGTCATTTTTAATCTTCCTCTGACTCCCCTTTTAATGGATAAAATACACGTATACTTGTAGTACATAAACAGATATACAGTATATCTGGTATTAAAACTTCATGGGAAAGGGCAAGTAGGAAAAACAATGTCTGACTATCTCTTCTGGGGGCAATAATTAAAAAAAGGTTGAGAAACAGGACTCTCTATCCATGGTGTCAGCCCATGAAAATGGGGAGCCAAACACCTACACCTACACACACACACACACACACACACACACACACACACACACACACACACACCCTGTAATGTCAATAACTTGACTACCTGTTAGAACATCATTACTTGATTTTCTTAGTGAGGAATTTTCCTCCACTCTCCTACTTTTAAGAAATACTTTATCTCCTGTCCCTTGTCTTTTTAATAACACTAGGACCAAAAAAGAATTATGTCATAGTTAAATCAGGCTTGGTCAAAGAACCAAAGCAAAGCCAACTTTTCCATTCTCTTCATTGTTGATACTACAACATTACCTGATACATGTGCACGTCGAATTTGTGCCAATTTTGCCTCCTTTGCTTCTTGCAGTTTAGACCATCGGGCATTCAAGTGCTTCATGTTCACTTCATTTTGATTCTCATCACGTTTCTTCAGTAGCTCTGTTAGCACTTCCAGGCGAATCGCCTGCAGTCTTCAAACAAATGATAAAATATAAGTATGTGGTATCTCAAACAGGGTGTTCTACTACAGAGAAAGGGAACACCTGCCATAAACAGGATCTTCTTTTTAGGTTGGTGTCATATTAATGTATTCTAAAAAGACCACTCTGACAAAAGTGTTACAAATGGAGGCCTGGGGGGGCAACTCAATAGTGAGTCTCTAAATGATAGGAGTAAGTATGGGTGTAGTTCTGATAAACAAACAAGAACATGCCTGGTAGATGGGCAAAATAAGGGCCCTCTAGGCAGATGGGCCTAAATGAACAACAAGATGTCCGCGCACGGTTCCAGGTTGAGTGGTTGCTGGAGGGCTAAGTAATAGGAGGAGTGAGGAGAAAATGAGGTTGCGGCATGTCATCTTAAGTAGTGAAATGTGCAAATGCCAGTGTCTGGCACATATAGGTATTCAGTCAACCTTTGTTTCCCTTCCCCTTATCTTGACCTTGTTCCCCCAGGGTTACCTTGCTCATCTGTATACAACTATGCACTAATGACTTTAAAATCTTTACCTCCAGCCCAGATATTTCTGAACCAGAATTTCTGTCTACTTGAATCTCCAGGTGTCCCCTGGAAACCTCAAATACCCCACTCATTTTGTTCTCCCAGAAATCCACGCGTTCTGTTCCATTTTCTTCCCTCCTCTAAGGATTTCTCCTCTAAAACACTTCTTGCATCCATTCCCTAGCTTATGTGTTTGTCATCTCTCTCCTAACTTGGACTATAGTTGCTAGTCTAGTCTCTCCTTCCAATCTTTGTTCCACATAACTGTCAAGATTTTCCTTCCTAAAATAGATATTTGAACATTTTACTCCTACTTCAAAATTCATACAGTAATTTATTCAGTCATTTATTTGCCAAATATTTATTAAGTCTCACCACATGCGCAGGCAGGGAGTAAACAATGATGAACAAGATAAAACACATTTTCTCAAAAAAGCACTATTCCAGTGGAGTAGGCATATAAGCCAACATTTATAACACAAGGAGATAAATAACAGACCAGAAGAATGGAAAGACTTCTGTGGGAAAAGAAATGACAGAGCACCTATATTTAGTGCTAGTCCCAGTTGGTCAGGGGGAAGGCAGGGGGTTGGTGGGGAAGGCTTTCTTAGAGAAGCCATTAACTCAGCCATCTGGAGGATAAACAAGGATTGAGATTTGTCACATTGACAATGGAAAGGTGAGGCCTCAGCAGAGGGAGATGAATGTTCAATTTAAAAAGACTAGAGAGGGCCGGCCGAGTGGCGCGATGGTTAAGAACTCGCTTGGGATGCCAGAGGGCCCCGGTTCAGATCCCACATATGAGGGCCAGTGACACTGCC